CTTGTTACTTAAAGAATCCAAATGCTCTTTTTCCACAAGATGATCTTTTAGAGGTTTAGGACAGCTTTGAGGCGTGTTTGGCTGCGCTTCGAGCCACTGTTGGAGCCTTTATTTGGTAGAATTTGGCTGCGGCTTTGGGGGGTTGGTAGCTGCATTTTGAGGCTTTATTTGATAATGTTTAGCATCGATTTTTGGAGGTTTTTGTGCTGCACTTTTTGAGCCTTTGAAGTATATTTTCGTAAAACATTTTGAGTTGCGATTTTGAGGCTATTAGACATGCAAAGTTTTAGAGTTTAGAAAGTGATCGTTTGAAACTTACATCCCTTTTGTTTGATTTGTGAAACATGAAAGGCTCTTACAACTTCATTTTGGGAAATCATAAAGTCGATATGAATTGGATTTCTGAGAGGATTTGAAAACTTATAAAATTGGCGTAAGTTCGACATTAAAATTTGGATAACATAAATGCCACATTTGAGTTCAGGTTTGGGTGTGTGAGTATGTAAGTGGTGGCAGAACCGTGTATACAATCGTCATATTGATTGGAGCCCGTTTCGACCTGTTCGAAATAAGATTTGGAAGGGATATCATTCTTGGGTTGATCCATTTATAAAATTTGAGAAAATGATATCATTTTTGGGTTGATTCAAGGATCTTGTTTAAAACTTATTTTTAAAAAAAAAAAAAAAGCCGACATAAGTTTTGAGGGCTGATTCACCCTTCGCCTTTTCGATCTTTTAGGTGGATCAGTTTCTCCTCTCTCTCATCCTCATTTTTATTCATTTTTTTCCTTCATTCTTGGTTCAGTTTTCGGTGCTTATGTCTGACACATAAGTGTCCATATAGTCTTTTGTTATATATGAAACCATCAAATAAGGTCGCAAGTAGGTCGGTTTTATTTTTTGGGGCTTAGGGTGATGATGACAAAGGCACGTCGGCGATAGAGCGGAATGATGTTCAATCCTACGACATCAAAAGACCCAATCCTGAGACCTGATGAATCGTAGAATGATAGTATCATTCGCCGACGCAAGACTAGCGGGGGACCCGTACTTTCTTAGCTTATTGGCAGTCATACGCCCGACGGCGTGATCGACTCGTGAATAATCATAACTTTTCAAAATTGATAAGAACAAACCATGATAAGCACAGATACAGTATTTATAAAAAATATTTTTATTACAAAATTAATACAACTTTTTGTATGTCTGAAATTCATATGTATGCTAAAATATAAATTTTAAATATATCGTAACTTGGTTGTCCGTTTATCGTTTACCAGTATCGGGCTAAGGAGTACCCTCCTAAGTTAGGTTCAGGACACCCTTCTAGTTGAGTGGCGGGATCTATACATCCGGGTGACCGATAGTAGTCTTCGACGTCCCTCGAGTACAAATATATAATATTTGAGCCTAGTTCCGACCCGAGTGCTTGCGATTTTCTTTATTCAAATTTTTCGTGGGATTTTATCGAAACTTTTGGTAAAGCACTCGTGGTCTTCAACACGGGATCTTCCCGTGTTTTTAGTGACTTTCTTTGAGTTACTATTTGCCGTTTTTTTTACTTCGAGATTTCCGTCGTGAGTCATCTGTCGATTTTCTCGAATTTTCTTTCGCCGTGGATCATTTGTCGCCCTTTCTTGAGTTTTCCATGTGGTATTTCTTTTGTTAATACAATGTATGTTAGCTCATTTCTTAAATTTTGCCATTATACTTGTACCTGCTACTGTTTCTTTTACACATTATACCTTAGAATAGGAGGCTAGTAGTTGGTTTCATATGAGATACCCGGTAGCAAATCATTGACTAAACAATTGCATATATCCTTGAAATTAACATCGAATCTGAAGGTGCTACGACAGGGAGCTTGGAGCGAACACTGTGGGCAGCACGACGAGGACACACAGAAGAGCAACTTTAAGATGGATCTGCAACATCAAAACAAGTTCATGTCAACTAAATATTTTTCTTACTTTAAATAACAAGTCATAGCACTTCGAGATAGTTTGTTTAGCGCAACGTAAATCCTCACCTTATCTTTAGGCTCTTGCATAACTCCGTTATGCAATTATAAGTCCTAAAACTCTTAGGATTCCGAGATTACCGTACTTTACGGTGTAAATCCTCATATCATTTTAGGCTATTTGCACGATCAAATATCGTGCGAATGTAAGTCCTAAATTCTACAGTAAATTGCAGAATTAAACATTGAATAACATTATTTCAAATCCATAAAGCCAAACAATAGGAATAGTTCGGAGGTCACCGGAATTCTCCCTTGATATCCCCTACCCTTCGCTCCTTTGGATTCCTTAAAAGAACTGTTCCTGTTTGAGCCACTCCCATTTGAGTTTCCCATGTTCAATCTTGGAAACTTAAACTTTAAAATCTTGAAGGTAAAATCACTTATCTTAATCAAGAGTCTTCTTAAGTAACCCTGGTCATTTAAGATGTAATTAACTATAGGGGTTTGCCTTTATAGGAAACTTGAAATCCAGGTAAAAAAAATATTATTTAATTCTTATATTAGGTAAGGGAACTTGTCGGTCACACATAAAGGTTTTGCAGACTAAACGGATGTCACAAACTTCTTAGTTTAGGTTGTTGAGCCTACTGTCAAGTGGTATGCTTATCATTTGAGATAGTGTATTATTTGTGGTATCGCGCTTAACTGTCCAAACTATTTAATATGTGACTCGTTTGGTCTCATCTATTTTTAACCAAAATATTACTTTCAAAAATCATATTTACATCAAAATTATTTTTATATTTAAAAAAAAAGTGACGGCCGACAATATTGAGCCTTGGTTCATGTGATTCAAGCCCTTGTTGTCGATTTCTTTTCGATTACAAACTTTTCATATATATATATATATACCCGCACCCCCCCTCCCTCCTTGGGGTGGTTATTCGTGGAGAAATTGGACAAGTCTTCGTCGCAGCGGGCCATAGCTTTCTGCATTGGGATAGCTTGAGGGTTGAACTTGATACGATCACTTTTCTGGGCTCTCTTTTGCAGCCTTGGATGAAAGAGTATAAAAGCATCGTGGATGAAGGATATAACAGGAATGTTAAGAACCACATGCATAATAGCATGATAGCACATGGTTGTGGAAACACCTCCATGTGGATACAAATTTCTTACTTCAGCTTAGACGAGTCCTTATTGTTTTTGGTTACATAGAATGTAACAAAGCAGACCATTTTTATTCTAGGCTTGCTTTGGATATGTCTTTTGTTTGAGATGCTCACACTTATGACCCCGAATTTTGGAGTGTGGTGACAGATGACGCTAGCCATACTGCATTTTTTGTGTAGCTTTTTACAGCTCTCTTTTGTACTTTTATTTTTATATATAATGCAATATGCACACCTTTCACAAACATACATTTATTTAACCCCATTTTAGGAATCAACCTTTGTCCTATGATCTTGCGCAGTACTTAATGACTAAAGGTTGCAGTTTGAGGCTGTAAACATGTTCTTCATACTAGAATCCAAGTGCATTGAATTAGAACTTTCAACTTTAGGCCAGATATTAAAGGAGTCATAGAAGTTACTACTTTTGATTTTTTGTTGGTTATAAATAAAAATGTTCAGGCATGCAATTTTTATTAGATCATCAACAACAACAAGAGGCCTATAACCCACTAAGCGGGGTTGGCTACATGAATCCTTTTTCTCCATTGAGTCCTATTGAGTGCATATTTCATTCAATTCTAATAAATTAAGATCATTTTTTATACAACATGCCAAAGTCTTATTAGGTCTGCCTTTACCTTTTTTAACATAAGTTGAATCTAAAGGATCTACTCTCCTAACAAGATCATCAGATAGTCAACGACGTTTAATATGACCAAAACATCTAAGACAACTTTATCTAACCTCGTTTACCACATAAACTCCACTAACCTACTCTCCTAACAAGATCATCAGATAGTCAACGACATTTAATATGACCAAAACATCTAAGATAACTTTATCTAAACTCGTTTACCACATAAACTACACTAAACCATTCACGGATATATTCATTCCACATATTGTCTCTATGTGTAAAGCCACACATCCACCAAAGCATTCTAATCTCAATAACACTTCAACTTAGTTTTATGATTCTCTTTTATAAGCCAACATCAGCTCCATAAAGCATCGCATCACCATCATTTTATAAAATTTTCCTTTGAGTCTAAGTGGTACTTTTTTATCAGACAATAGGCCTAATGCATTCCTCCACTTCAACCATCCAACTTGAATTATGCTAATAACAACAACATCTATATCAACTTCACTTTGAACAATAGACCTGAAATATCTAAAACGTTAACTCATTTTAATGATTTGATCATAAAATAAAATTTCTATTTATTCTCAATTCATGTGGGTATTATTGGATGTGTAATCTTCATGCACTTGCAAGTCTTGACGGCAACTTTAGGGAATGATTATGTTCAAAAAGCATGAGGCATAAATCATTTAATTAGTGATTTAAATCATTTCACTTACATCTAAACTACTTAGTGATTTTTTTGTCAGCATCAATGGGATCTTATCAAGCAAGATGCAAAATCGTTCCTGTTTTTATAGTGTGAATCTCAATTCAGATAGAATTTTATTTGCCCTCAAATTTCTTATAGAATTTAAAAGTTTGACAAGTTTTATATTATTGACTGTATTGATAAATTATGTTTTCTCGTTTTTCATCGGAAGGGATTAAAATTTGCTTAAATTAAAAGATGGAAACTATGTATTATGGTCACTGATTGTTTCTTTATGAATCTCATTCTATGTTTGCATCAGAGAGCAATAAGAAAACCTACATCACCTTCCATATCCACAATCATCATTATTAGCCTTATCACAACTAAAATTCTTTGTTGTAATATGTTAATAAAGTAAAAGAACAACGAAATAATGAATATGCAATGAGAATACTAGATATAAATCGAAAAATTCACATGCAGATAATGAAAAATGAAGCCACCAGAAATTCAGTATTACCGGTTCATTAAAAATGATAGTCTTGAAGGCTTTCCAGTTTGGTGGAAGGCTAGCATCCTGCATTTGAGAAAGATGCCTGTAAATAATTTATACGAGGTAAAAAAAAAATACTACCAAAAAGTAATATCAAACAATGAAGTTTTAATCCTTTATGGCATGTACAAAATACTCCGGCTAAATAAAGGAGGAAAGGAGATCACCTTGTACTTATTCCTGACATCAGAAAGGGAAAATTTCACCTCCAAATTTGTCTCTTCAGCTCCAAATAGCTGAAAGCATGATCAGACGCAAAAATCTATATAGTTTAGCGAAATAAATCAAAAAAATGCACAGTATCCAAAAACAATTGGAAAAAATAGGCCATAAGATATCAAATATTTATAATGTTAATTTCTGGAGAAGGCAAATTCACAAATAATTGGATCCAAAAATTTTAAAGAGCGGAAAGCCTAGTCTCAATAACGAAAAGAATTGAGTAAAAATCTAATCTTAATGTAAGGTAAAAGTGGATGCCCCATGGTCTATGACATGAATATATCCATAATCTGAAATCAACGTTTTTTGGGATTCAAACTATAGCTAGGGATGCTTTCAGAAGCAGTAACATACTATTATATTTATTAGGATGGCAAAAATAGACAATCAGATACAGCACATTCATCAAACTGGTTGAATTGATGAATATTTAGCTTTAGCTACATCGCCCTCAAATTATTTTCCAGATGTTAACGGGAAAAAATCAAATGAAAGCAGTAATGACGATGATAAATGGTTACAAGTAATTCAATAGAGTTGGAAGATTATGGTCACCTTTCTTTTTTTAATTTCCACCTCCTCTGATTCTTCGGTCTCCTTTCTGTTATCCTATAAGATTAATGCAACAGAAAGAATGCCATATAACAGACGTAGATTAACTTGAAATTGAATTTAATAACTTGTAAATTGTAATGACTAATGTTAAATAGCTCAGGCAGCATCAGCTGTAATAGAAAAATAAATTAGCATAAACTGAGCACATGCACAACAGCTGCCAAAGACCTGGAGGGAAGGTTTAAAAAGTTGAAATCAGGAACAGAGGTGTTCTGCTGTAGCGAGGCAAGACGTCTCGCTAAGCCTCAAAATAGAAAAAAAAAACTTATAGAATTAAAAAAAATTCATAAGTTTGACATAAACCATTGATATATTGATTTCGCTTATTATCATAGACAGAAATCACAAATCACAATCTGAAATATTGAAATAAAATTGAAGTTTGAAATATGATTTAGGTAAGTGTTCACTTTAAATTTAAATATTCAATTATGATCAGGATCTATAGTGACATCTTCCTTGCTTTCAATTACTTTCAAAAAATAATAATATTTATATTATATAATTTTGTCTCATTCGCAACTTCAAAATACTCTTTAATTACTACAATTTTCTTCTTGCTCTTTATACCAATCAATACTAGATCCAATGTAATTTAAAATAAAGAAATAAATTAATAACTAAATCAAGTAATCATAATTAAATTATTTTTTTGATTTTTTGAAGCATTATATCTGTCTGTGGCGTCGTGCTCTGCAAGGGTTTCGACAGATGGCAAAACCCTGTGCTAACTCCTTTGGCTTTGTCGTGCTCGACGACGAACGGTTAGCGCATCCAACTTCTCCTATTTCGAGTGTTTCGTCTTTCGTTGGTTTCTTCGTGCTCACTCATCATCTTCTTCCTCGGATCGTTGTTTGTCGCAGCATTTTCCCGTTGTTACGAGGCTATTCGTGTCTTTCTCGCCGCAGCTACGTTCGTCCTTCGTTGTCCTAACGCCTCGCACAAGCTTCCTTGCACAGTGTCGCGACTTCCTCTGTTGTGGCCACCGTTCGATACCTGCTTGCTCTGCGGATCGAGCAGCAAATCGAGCAGCAAAGGAGTTAGACCCACTGTTCGACTCTGAGCTCTATGGCTATTGTTCCTTCTCAACCACCGAGTACTTCAGTTTTAAATCTTGGAAAGACTTCTTTTGTTGATATGATTGGCTCTATGGGATCAGATCAGGTTTTCCCTCAGGTTTACCATGAATCATTCGAAGGCCAGAAGGAGTGCAACCTTATCAAGAAAACGGGTAGTAAAAGTGGTAAACTGACTCTATTCTTCTCTGATGTTGAAGTTTCCAACCCGGTTAACAAGTTCAAATTCACCCTCATTGGGAGTTCTAATCGGAACATCCCGAAATGGAAATCATTCGAAAGGCTTTTGAAGGTCTCAAACTATTGTGACTCTAGATCCCAAAATGGAAATCATTCGAAAGACTTTTGAAGGTTTCAAACTATTGTGACTCTAAACGGTTGGCCTCTTTGATGGAAGACATGTGATGATACAATTATCTAAAGTGAAAAACTATGCCAAAATATTTTCCAAAAAGTTTATGACAATAGAGGAAAAATATATGAAACTGCTTAAGTGGTCTCTCAATTTTAACCCTAGTCAAGAACCACTTATAGTTCCAATCTGGTTCAAACTACCTGGCTTAAATTTGCACTACTTCAACAACTAAATCCTCTACTCTATTGGAGCTACACTAGGGAGACCTATGCAATTGGATACACCCACCTTCAATCTAACCAGGCCTTCAGTTGCAAAAATTCTTGTTAAAAGGGATATCACCCTCCCTGATAAGGACGAAATATAGCTTGGCACTGCCCACAATGGGTATTGACAGCCAATTATAGCTGAACAAAGACTATATTAATGTAATCACTGCAAATTGTTTGGGCACACTCCTGTCAAATGCTTCAGGCTTCACCCACATTTAACATCGAGCTTCACCCACATGTGAGATCGACATGTCGTAACAATATCATCCATGTGGAGGAAAATATAGTAAACATTGTGAATCTTCCAGAAATATTGAATGAAAATTTGACTCATATGGCTAATCCTCACCAACCAGACTAGCAGCTTCCGTCTACAGTTGTTGTGGCAGTTCTTCCTCATATTACAAATTCTACGAATTGTGTTGTAGCAGATGCTAGTCGAAGTGTTTTAGATCCAACTATTGTGGGAGAAGAGGCTACTCATGTTATGGAGAAGTGTCAGGTTCAAGGTGTGATGCAGGTTGAGTCAAATCAACAGTTTACCTCCATCGAAGATCCACCTATTGTTCACACGAAACTTCCTCTGGCAAATGATTGACAGGTTAACAAATCCAGGAAGAAGAAGAAAGAAATGTCAGATTTCAGTAACTCTCAGGATGACTGTATCATTTTTTCGGACTCAGTAACTCTCAGGATGACTATATCATTGTTTCGGATCGGATACCCACATCTTAGTATATTGTTGGACTCCATCCCTAGATCCAATGGAATAGGAAGCGGTGGATCCACCCCCCCCGACTACACCCACCATGATTAGGAGTTGTTTCTTTTTGTTTTATTTTTTGGGGAATACGTTTGTAATCCCTGTGAGTGGGACCTTTGTACCCACTCACTAAAACCTATGTATCCTCTCTTTTTTTATCAATGAACTTTGCCTTAATATATATATATATTATTACTATTATTATAATTATTAACATAACATAATAATTTTTTTTGCAAAACTTAATTAAGAGCTACCTCAAACACCTCATGACATAAACAACGAATCATAAGACAAAATATGCAAAAATCAAATTTAGCCAAATTCAGCAAGGTTTAAAAACTAGTTCATAGCAATGGATCCTATTTCTGATTCCTAGTATTTATCCATCTAATATAACTATTAATAAGTGATACATGGTTTTGTTTAACTCCTAAATATGCACCATTAATGGATCTATTCCTCTATTAATCTCCTGGTGCCCTAACTCTAATACAATTTATCATCATCATCGTTAGACATTCCATGATTGGAAGAGCTATGTGGTGTCATTACTGAAGCCTGCACGCAATTCAGCTAGCTTGTGGCTAAGTTTGCGCTCTGAGCTTATTTAATTTAAAAACCAACGAGAATTGGATTCATTTCTGAAGAGATTTTGTGGCCACTGTTAATTTCCCATATAATGTTAAAGACAGACAAAGCAAAAATGGCACATAAATCAACAATTGGAGAAAACAACATTAAAAATAGATAATATAAATAATAAAATGGCTATAACTATTGATATGCTTCATGTGCAATTTCAATGATACATGAAAGAAAAATTATAAAACTAAGCCATTTGTAAGTATCATCTCAAATGGATGCGTTGGGTTTAAACCCAACAATGCCGTATGTTTATGCTCCATTCGCATAAAAAGGGAGAAAATGGCATTCACTTAAGGAGTGGTGCAAGATATAACATGGAAAAAGAAAATTTTGTATTGCTAAAGAAAATAAGAAATAGCCCCTCTTTATCCTTCATTCCTTCCAGGATGAGTCCTTGAAAATAAGAAAAAGGAGGCATCCTCTATGCAACCCATCTCAGCCTGTTGGTTAGAAACGTATGCTTTCAACCAAGAGGACTTGGGATGGAAAACTAAGTATGTGAGTTAATTGGCTTTCAACCAAGAGGACTTGGGATGGAAAACTAAGATATAAGTTATGTGAGTTAATTCGCAATTACATTTTCTGGATGTGAAAAAAGAGGCTCCCTGCTAATCGCCTTCCTCTAGAAGCCTATATCACAACTTTAGCATGGTTGAACACTTATTTCCATTGCTATTTTGGGAAGATATCAAGATTTACACGGTTAGATATCTACGTTCATCTTTCTTGTAATAGAAAATTAAGTTTTTTCCACTCCTTAATCACTTGTGATCTCCGCCTTTTCACTAGTGAGAATCTCTTTATGTGGATTAGGAAGGAGTGATTCGAATTGCTCCTATATGATAAACATTGTAACGTGCAATGCTTAATAATGCAACTGTCCCTCCTCTTCCGTGAATAGGCCAAGTTGGGTACCAAACATGTAAATTTGATGTCTCAATTCATTGACGTGTGCTCTTAATTTATTATGCTCTTGCTTTATGTTATACTATAAATCTTAATAGATGATATCAAAGTCCTAATAATTTGTATCGAAGTCAATAATTTGGCTATGATTGAGTGCTTCATGGATTTGTAACTCATAAATCCCATGGATACACCCATTAAAACCCAAATCAAATTTCAACTTCCATGATCGCATCAAAGACATGCAAATGTCAAGTCGATTAAAAAGTTGATGATATCCTTACCCCAACACTTCCCATCCCCAGGCTTGCCATTATAATAGGGATGCCTCAATTCTACTCAAGATGAGAGAATTCCTCTTAGAAACCATTAAAAGCACTTGGCATAGGCACTCAACAAAAATATACTCCAATGCATCCTCAGTACAATGATTCCATAATCTACAAACTTAACCTACCAACCTTCATTTTCTCAAGTAAAAAATTATTTTCTCAAGTAAAAATTATGCCATATCATCATAATATACATAAGCAACATGTGGAGCACTTCTTACCCTTTGTTTAACATGTTGCATTGCTCATCAATGCTCAACTCTCAATCCTCAATGCCTAGTATTACGTACATACTGAGGCTTGCAAAATGTGTTGATCAATTTGCACAATGGTTGTAATTCTCAAGACCAAATCATCATAACTGTGTCAACGAGTTCTATCCTTTCATCTCAGTATTATCTTGCTTTTACTCATTTTCACTCATTGAATAGCTTAGACTAAAGAGTTTTTCTAACAGGCGCCACTCTCTAGTGCTCATCCAAAAGGTCAATAATTTTTGGTGTTCTCAACCGTGGTTAAAAAAGGTTGAAAAGCAAGTGACTCCTACACAAGTTCCTCATGGATGAGTAAGCTCTCGGTGCATGATAGTTGATGGAAACTAAAAATTAATTTGACCATCCATCATCATATTAGTTCCAAATC